TGAAATAAATATAATACATGCTTCAACACAACTAATGGGACTTCTCTCTGGTGTTTTATCCCCTAACATTATCCCATTGACTTCCATAGCAGGGCACATAAACATAAGTGATTTTCGTGTTTTTACAAAACTTCTTGGTGAGTTTTGTATTGCAATTGCATTTTCGTTACATTGAATGTTTGGTAATTTCTCTTTTTGTCGAATTCTTTCAAATATTTGTTGTAAGAATGATTCATTTAATTCATGGTGAATAACAGAACAATCTAATCCATTATAAAGATTGAGGTCATTTTCCTTTTTCCCTTCTTCTTCGGTACATAGTAGTGTAATTGAATGATTTTTTCTTTATCATTGTACTTCATTTGAAAACAAAATAACTCTATTTTATTTTTTATAGTTTTTTTACTTTTTTTTAAACTTGTTTTTAATAAAATAAATAACATTAATTTTCTTAAAATACTTTTTATCATTTGATTTATTCTATAAATAAAAATTGATTTATTTATTAAAACAACTAATGTTCATATGAAGAATAGAAGAAAAATACTCTCTCTTGAATGAATACCATCTCTTTGTTGATTTATTTATTTTAATTATATTTTAATTGTTTAACAGATAAGATATCTTTTCGGTACAATCTTCTTTAAGTTTAATATAAAATATTATATTCAACATTATAGCCAAGATTGTTAAATTCAAAGAATAAAATTTGTTTTATTGATTTATTGATTCTGAGTAGTTTAATTAAAGAAACAATGGAGTTAAAAGTATTTTATTGGTTCGTATATTAATGTTCAGTAAAAAGATATAATCAAAAGATGTGGAAAAAGAAGTTAAACGGAGTATTTAAAACGTTAGTGTATTATCAATATAATTGATAATTAATAACTTTCATGAAACAGTTTTATAACAAAGGAACTATTGTATTGAATTATAACTCATAATAGTATTTGGAAAAGAAGAAATAATGTTTTGTAATAAAAATGTAAAGTTGTTGTAATAAGCCTACCAAATATTAATTAATATATAAGTTATTGTTATGAATTTTTAAAAGTGAATAATCATAAATAGATTTTACAGAACATCTTATTATTTATCAATATGAGACATTATCAGAAATATAAGTTTATAAATTTACTGTTTTATATTAATAACTAGATAATGTGTGTTTTATATAAATAAATATTTCATTCATAAACATATGAGAAGAATAAGAATTATTAAATAATTTATGATTAATATGAATAGTGTTCATCATATTAAGCATATAATACAAGTATTATTAAAAACAAAAGTAATGAAATGGTTTTTAACAATGATTTAAAAGATAATTATGAATAATGTATTAAATTAATGTAGTGTTTTATTATAATATTTTTGTAAGACTAAAGTTATTAGAATAAATCAATAATAAACAAAACATAATTTCATTTCAAAAAGATTATTTCTCTTTTAATTTTTTGACAGTTAGAGAATCATTCAATTCATTATAATTAAAAACAATTAAAATAATGATAATATTTAATTTAATATTGATGTATTAGATAGATATTAATTCTATATTGATAAATGTTTCAATTTATTCAAAAAGAAAATGATTCATGAAAACTTATTAAAAATGAACAAGAACTAATTTAATTTGCTTTTATTCAAGAAATTGGATAACAAGCAGTTTTGAGAACTTTTCAATCTCCTTAACTCTTAGTACTCTTTGATTAACTTGTGAATGTTGATCTTTAAATCAAAGAAGTACTATTTCTGGTACTTTACCCATCCATACTGATTCTTCTCAATGAGTGCTTTTTTGAATCTTGTAATGGTTTCAGAAGTTTTCATCAATTCTTCACATGTATTATCAAATATATCAACTCCTTCTAATGGTGTATTACAGTTAAGTTCAATCATTTGTTGGAGTTCCATATATCTTTGATCAGCTTTATAGAAATTATATTTGGTCACATTGCAAGTTTTCTTGGTTTTTGTCCATTATATCTAATGGTATGTGGTAATAATACTGCTACACAACTACTATGTGGAAGATGGAACGATGCTCTAACTTTGTGAAACATTGAATGATCCATACCAATGAATGCAACTACTATACCTGTAATTCCAACTGCATTATGCATATTTTCTCTTGCTTCTACTCCATTATATGATTTAAGAAGATTTTCAAAGATTAATTTAATCGCTTCTCTACAAGTCCATCTGTATATTCATTGGTCATAATTGAAACATACGCTTCCGTTGTATGAACTAATCCATCAATTCCTGTATCCTTAATAGCTTTCTTTTGAAGTAACATAGTAAACATTGGATCTATAACAGCAAGTGATGGTGTAAGTGAATAACCTGCAAGTGGATATTTCTTACCGTTCATGATCTGAAATAACTGTAACTTGTGTAACTTCTGATTCTGTTTCTGATGT